GTGTTATTTTAAAGGAAAAAACTAACGAAAACAAGTAGAATTAATAAAAATAACTAAAAGAACAAAAAGCATAAACACACAATATATAACAAGCAAAATAAAATTACTCCCCAACTTGAACCAAACATTATCCTCAATGTTTTAACGCAATCAAGAAGGGGTGAACTCATAAAGACCTCACTCGGGAGGTGAGAAGCGTAACATAAGTTGATGCAACATCATATGCACATCATCAAGTATCACTCGTTGTCTTGTTTGCTCCTCCTTTATTCCTTGAATCTCCGATTTCACCCACCCCCATTTATCATGATTATAATTTAAAGGCTCGACTTCATGTTGGGTAGGATAAGTAGGTGGTGGGATAATGTATTCCTCCATAATGTTGCATACATCATGGTTAGACAAATTGAGGCCACCCTCCTATTTGAAGGAGTTACCCAAAGCAACAACGCCTGCCACGTAGATCTAATTATTCACAACATTAACCCTTACTTTTTTAGGGTTAGGAAAATGAATAATAGATTTGTTATAGATCACCAGTGTGTATATGTCTTCTGTCAACAAAAAACATTCCTGGAAGCACAAGGTCATCCATGTCAATCTTATCTTTACCATCTACAAGACGGTCCTCTTCCAAATTAAATTCAAGCTCAAGGTACTTCTTTTGTCCGAGATACTTCTTAAAGCATGAAATTACCAAAAACACGATACCAAAGCATAAAATGTGATAAAATAAAGTAAGTTGAATGAAAGTGAAAAATAATGAAGTAAAACAACTAGTAAAAGTGATATGAAAATCACTTATCAAATAGCTTGTGCTAATTGTCCTTTGAGATTTTTATTTTCAAGTTTTAAAAAATTGGACAAGTAACACAATCCATTTTTACTACCTTTTCAGGTAAAGTGTCAGAAGCATTAAAAAACCAATCAACGAGAGATGCATGCTTTTCCTTTAAGGATTTAAAGAAATATTAAGATCATTAATCTATTTTTCAAGTTTCGAAATAAGTTTTCTTTGGAGAGGAATTTTCTTAAAAGCACTTAATGCATGTGCATGCATTTCACTAAACACTTTCGATAATTATTTATAAGAAGTTTTAACTCCAGGGTAAAAAAATGTATACCTTTAAGTCTTCACTTTTCTTGTGTGTCGTTAAGCATAGGTTGGCACATTCATCATCTAAACTTGAATTGGAATATGAAGATGAGATCTTATCTTATTTTTCTCAAGCAATATAGGCTCTACAACCTTAAGCATTTTTCCCTTCGTCTTGTAGAATTCCTTATCCTTTTTATTTTGTTGTTTGTTAATACTTATATATGTCGTTCAAAAATGATCCGATTTTCCACATTCAAAGCATGTAACATCTTTTTTATTTCTCTTATGTTCCTTCTTGTGCAGATTAGACTTATTGAAATTAATCAGATTTTTGTAGAAATGTTTGAGATTATGTTTCCTTGTACAACGATTGTAGCACTTAACGAATAACCCCGTCTCTTCTTTTTTAGAAAAGCCTTCATCAGAACTATCACTTTCATCCTTGGTTTTATTTGTCCTTAACTACAAAGCTTTCAAGAAAAGATGCTGATTTTCTTCTTTGACCTTCTATTTCTTTTTCGACTTTACTTTGCTTTCAATGAGCCATTTCAGTTTATTCTCTTTCAGCTTCCAAACATTATTTTGATATTTAAATTATTAATATCATTTGATTCTTTGATGTTCATAACCTTTAGTTACCACTACCTGCATATAGATCTTAACATTTTGTTAGAACAATCTTTTTTAGAAAAAGAGTTTCCCAAGTCATCTAACTTGTTGATTAAATAGAGAAAATGAATCTACATGGATTAGATGGATAATTTGGCTTCCATACAGAAAAGTTCATACTCCTCTATCAACATATTGATTTTAGAATCCTAAACGTCTTTAGTTCCCACATAAAGGACTTGAAGAGCGTTCTGTATTTGTTGTGCATTCTTATGATGTGAGATAGAGTAATATAATTTCGTTCTTAATATGGAGATAAGTATATTCTTCACCTTCAAATCATATGATGCTTTTTGGTTTCATCATCGGTCCAATATTTTGGGAGTTTAACCTTATTATCAACTTCATTTTTGGGAATGAAAGTTCTGTCGGTAATTGCTGCCTATAGATACTTGTCAAGTGACTTTAACTATAAGTACATATTTCCTTCCAATAAGCATAATTTCCATCTTGAAAAAATCGGTGCTTTATTATAAGTTCCCTTCGGATCATAGTCACTCATGTTCTCATTCTTTTAAGTCGATTATACCTGATCAAAAAGACCATCTCTTAAGCCAATTGTTGGGTAAGAATTGGACAATAAACGATTTAGTGAGGGTGAATAGAACTCCCAAATAATATTTCGTTGAAAATAGTTTGAAAATTTTTTTATCAGAGTTTTTATAACAAAATTGATTTTGCATGGCGGAAGAAAACTTTAGCGTAAAATATATTATTATGCTTATAGATTGGAATTTATACATAATGACTTAAATAGTTCACAATAGAAAACAAATGAATGCATTAAATAATTATTAAAATTACATGAGATATGTAATTTTTACAACACCAATACTATATAGATTCTACAACCACAGTTTTCAGATTAACCTACAACAAGAAAAAGTTGAATTTCCATTTCTAACAAAACCTACCCCTTTACGATAAACTGCTACCAAAAGAGATCCTAATGGCATGCAATTTCTAGAAAGCAATAAGGAACAATTCAATCAGGAAATTAATTATGGAAATTAAGAGAGAGAGAGAGAGAGAGAGAGAGAGAGAGAGAGAGAGAGAGAGAGAGAGAGAGAGAGAGAGAGAGAGAGAAGAGTACACCGACACTTATACTAGTTCGATGCGTTCATCCTTGGTTTGTGCATACTCTAGTCTCCAATAGTTTCCCATTGAAATTCTGTTGGTCTTCCACTATGATTTATGAAAAAAATTACAAGAGTTCGTACAATCACAATATCTAAATTAATACTGAAAATATAAAAACCTTCTTTATGTACCTTTTATTTGTAGATTATCTACAAACCAAACTCCTTGTAAAATCCTCACGCAGAATTGCTTCTTAAATCTTCCAGCCCAAACAACCTGCTCCTAAGTCTTCGTTTTGCGATAATAGTCTGAAGATTGAGAAGAACTCATATCTCGTTTGTAGGCTTCCAAACAAGATTACCGAGTTCTGTCTGAAGATTGAGAAAAACTCATATCTCATCTGTAGGCTTCAACTCAATACTACTAAGGTCAACATTGAAAGAAGAACCTCATTCTTTTCCACTTGAATTGTCAAAACTAGCCATAACACCACACACCTTACAAAATTATGAAATCTTAACCAAATCTTCAAAGAAATGTTAAATTTAAGACGAATCGCCTCAACAATATCTAATCTCCTAAAATGATATTAAGATCCATACAACAATAGATAAATAAATTGTTAGCAAGTGTTCATAAAAGATTCAAAACTATTTTGAAAATATGAAAGAGCGAGTGGTTTGTGAGTTCTCAAATAAATATTGGAAGTATGTATTTTCTAACATTTTGAAGGTTTTTAGAGAAAAATGATTTTATTGGGATTGGATATCTAGCATAAAAATGATTGAAAAATGATGTTTAATTCAAGTCACGAGCAAAAGTGTGATTTGAGTCAAAGAGCAAAGTGGTTTGAATAAAGATATGTAACATATGAGAAACCTATATTTAGGATATGGGTTATGATTCAAGTCATGAATTTGTATGATTCGAATCAAATGTGACAATGGAAAAATATGGAAATGCAGTCCTTCATGATTTGAGTCAAGTGTAAGCAATGGTTCGAATCAAATGGTGTTATGATTCAAATCAAATACAAGTTGTGATTTGAATCATGACAACTTCCAAAAATTAGATGCTGAAGTTTTGTGTCTCTGGTTCCTTAACAATTATGGTTTTGTTGCTTGTCTCTTAAGCTTTTGGTTTCTAGTTTCATGTCATTAAGTCTCCTAGTTGCACATCTATGGATTGAGGTTTTAATCCATTTTTATCAAGCATAAATCAAAGTGTTTGATTATAGTGTAAGTGATATGACTTAAGTCAATTTGTCAAGTTTTTTTTGAATCAAGAACTATATTTGAGTTTGGTTCAAGTCATGACATTGGTAGAATCTCAAAAAAAAAAATTAAAATTGCAAAAAGTTGAGATTCTAGGTACGTGATTTGAATCACGTATCTTATGACTCGAATCAATTAAAACATAGAGTTCATGAATAGTCAAAAGTTTTCATGATTCGAATCACAACTTGTATTTGATTCGAATTATAACACTGATTGATTCGAAACATGGCTTACACTTGACTCAAATCATGAAGGACTACACTTCCATATTTTGCTAGTGTCATATTTGATTTGAATCATACATATTCATGACTCAAATCATGACTTGAATCATGACCCAAATCATAAATTTGGATTTCTCATATGTTTCATATCTTGATTCAAATCACTTTGCTCATAGACACAAATCATACTTTTTCTTGTGACTCGAATAAAACATCATTCTCACTCATTTTTGTACTAGATCTCAAGCATGTATAAAATCATTTTTCACTCAAAACCTTCAAAAATGTTAAAAAAACACATACTTCAAATATTTATTTGAGAACTCACATGAGTAAGAGTAGTTAAATTCTCTTTTGTTGGGGTTAGATGTAACTGTACCAAAATAATCTTGTATTCATCTTGATCATGGTGTTATATATTTATAGTTATTCATTAACATTGTTGATTATCTTCATTCTTAATGTTTGACATATCAAAACCTGTATTATCCGCTCGCTTGGCTTCATGAAAAATAAAATTCAATGTCACCTGAAATATGTTACCAACCAAATGTGAATAAAGGATGTTGTCTTTGAGTCGGTGTTCTAATACAGTAGTGCTCCAACTAAAAGATGTTTGTATCTTATTATGTTGGTTTCAGAGCATTTGGTTCACAGCTCTGTCGTTGATACATAGTCTTCATCTTCCAAAGTCTTTAATAGTTTTTGCATCTCAGATCTTGGCAATCTTACCACATTGTTGTCTCGAGCATGTACATTGTATATTTGCTTGATATTTGAAACATTTAGAGGTTTTTTCTGTTTCAAAGTTATGAGAATGTTTTCCAAAGCCACCATGTTTAATGTCATGTCCGAAACAAGTTCCCTTTCCTCCGGCAGAATGCGACATACAATGGGATGGTTGTCTGGCTTGTCAGTCAAGACATAATTATTAAAATACCGAAAATCACATTAAATTTCCATGTCTCATCTGCCATACGATATATGAGAAATTTAAACGGACACTCACATTTTCTCGATCCAGTATCATCTCGTTTCAACTTCCTAACCTTTTGTTGGTATGTGCCACTTCCTTCGCATACCATTGTTACAAATGTTTGTCTTCTACCCAAACCATTGTCGGACCTTCCTATCACAACGTCAAACCCTAATTTTCCGACTTTCCTACGGACCCATTGTAGCATATGTTCACAATCATCTACCTCTACATCGGCCGATCAAGCACCCGATTTAACATCATCATTCACTTCATTTGGTTAAACATCATCATTCGCTTCATCCGATTTAACACCATATTTTAGTTTGACCGGTTTAACATGCACACACATAATAGCTTTGGGAAACATACCTAGGTGCACCATATCTATTACCACCAATAATAAAAAAATAGTGTTAAAAGTTAAACTATCAAAAAATTCGAAGATGCACATTCGAAACTCACCTAAATTCGTCTAGAATTGCATCTCTAGACTCAAGGTTCTTTTATCATCAGAAACCTAAGATTAATGCAAGGAATAGAGGATGAAATGAGTGATATTTACCTATAATTTCTGTTTGGTTTGCTCTCTTTGAAGTGATGAAATACAAGAATGATGTTTTGGTGTTGAAAAGTTGATTGAGAATGAGATAAATTTTTTCAAGGGTTTAGCTATGCTTTCTTATTTTAGCAAGAAGAAGAAGCTCGTGCAAGATGGTGTTTTATCAATTTTCTCGCTGGGATTTCTAGAGATGCATCTTCGAAAATATCACTAAGTTGTTATTTAAATAATTTGCGAGAATAACAAACTCATAAATGACTTTAGGGGTATTTCTTAGATATATCTCCAGATACACCCAAATCTGATACAGAGATGCATTGGCAGACCATTTTGTTTTCCAAAAACTAGGGTGAAACTCATAAAAGAGAAAATAGACATGATTTTTGATACGTCCGGAGACAGACGCTTGAGAGCATTTCCAAAACTTCAAGGATGTGAAAGACACCACCATATATAGAAAGAACATCTCCTTTTTATTTTTGAAAAATATAATTGATTTTCGCAAATATTCTCAAATTGAATTGATTTTACTTTTAGAATATTTATTCTATTTCTTTTTCGGTTCAAAGGAGATTAATTCTAATTTTTATCTACAAAATTAATTTTTTTACCTCAAATTTAATGTTCATTTTATTTTTATAAGAGTGTTATTTAAACTTTTAAAACTTTATATTCAGCACACTTTTAATTTAATTTAACTTTTAACATTCAATTTATTCAAAATTATTTTTTACTACCCATAACCAAACCCAAAGTCAAAAGAATGTCAAAGTGATTTCACTATCCAAAATAAGAATTTGCATCTAACCATCTCATCAAAAAATTGAAATGGACCGACATTTTAGGGATATTTTTATCTATTTAACTCTTGGGGTATGTTTTTTTTTTCAACTAAAAACCAATAATTTTTTAATTTGTCGTAAAAACTATATTTGATTCTTTTAACATAAAGTTCAATTAATTTATCAATGTAAAGATTTATAATTTGGCTTTTAGTAGGAAGTGTGAACATGACAAAATTAAACATCAATTCAATGTTTGTAATTCCTTCATGCATGCATGCATGCGTTTATGAATTGACAAAAAGTAATAATAATGTTTGAGTGGGTATCAAAAGCTTGAGGTTTAAACTCTAACAGTTCATTGTGTTTTGTATTTTTTATTGTGCCCATTGAATTAAATCTCGATAGTAGACATGGATGGAGAGATGGAGACGGTTTTTATTACTCTAATATTTAAATTTGAATTTTCAAACTATTTTTATTCTTCGCTTTGATTTTCAACGTAAATAAAAAATAATAATTATTCAAACTCGTTCAAAATTAAATTTAAGTTTTAAATAAAAATATCTTTAACACCAAATTATACTACAAATAATAAAATAAAATATTTTATACATAATTTTAATAAAGTATTAATTAAAATATCAAAACATTTATCATATATTTACTATTATATTATCCAAATTAAATAATAAAATATATAATAGAATAAATGGGATGAGTTTGTGGTGTATACTAATATCTTTATTACTCAATTTGTCTCTAGGAATGAGAATGATCAGGCCAATTAATAGGGATCTACGACCTAACTATACAGATAAAAGTTAGACTAGATTTTTTTTAATTAGAAAATGCATAGACTTTTTTATACGCCTATTTAGTTAAATAGGTCAGTCCACATGCCATAAAAAAAATCTTTTAAACCTATTAACCTGATCTATTTTAATAAATATAAATAAATATAAATAAATATATTATTTTTTATATTATATTTTGTATTTTATATTGAAATACAAAAATAAAATTTAGTTATTTTAAAAAACTTCTGAACATAAGTTGAAAAGACTTCATGAATAATGTCATAAGTTGTTTTTACAACTTTTTCTAAATAAATAATTTCATAATATTTATGATTTTATGTAATCTCAAATAAATCTACATAAGCAAATATTTAATTTTATTGTACTTTTGATTCTCTAGTATATTTAATCATTAATTGAATTGCTTATTTATATATGTTCAAATGAGGAGACACTATGATTGAGAATGTCGAAGCCATGAAATCTCTTTCCTTCGATCATTTCAAGGAGAGATTTTAAGAGCTAATTCTTGAGAAACCTAGGCTGAAATGAGTGATTTTCAATGAACTCTCCTTTGAAAAAAGCTGTAGCCTTGAGGTCCGGTTCTTACTTCAAATATTAAAGAGGTTATCTAGAGTTCAGTGTGTGACAAAATTTAGGGTTTGGACGGTTTCAACACGGGGTTCTTTAAAGCTAGCTGGGACTTATCAATGAAGACATTTGATTGTGTTAATTAATTCTTCTTATATGCTCATCTTCCAAAGACTATCAGATCTGCTTTTATTGCCTTGATACTGAATAACCACACCCCTCGGGATCTCAATGATTATGGTTCAATTTGTAGAATTATTGAGAAATGCTTATTCTTTGTCGAGTTTCCATCCCTTCAAATTATCAGATAATCTTGATTTTGATCTTCAATAGTTTGCGGACAATATGATCATAAAGATTCAGCTATCGTAGGAAAATATTTGGTCTATAAAAGTTGTGCTTCGTGGTTTTGAATTGACATTTGGCTTATGCATGTTAGATTTTAACATATAAACCATAAATGAATATATAAAAATCATAGCAATTTCAATATCAAATAGATTGAAGAATGAATTTATTGTGTACTTTTAGATTTCATGGGCACATGCGCGGAGAGCATGAGATGATACCTAAACTACCCTCCTTGTTATTATTCTTTTTGCCACACTACAAAACTGTCTAATGCGATAACAATTTTATAGTTAAATGGTTTAGGTAAAAAAAATTTCATTGGACTTAAATGAATGATTCAACTAATTAGGATTCATTCAGTAAGATAATTCATCGATAATTGCTTAATAACAATGGACCATAATTTATAATAATTTATAAAAATTAATTATTGTTAACCCATAATTGATTAATTAAATAATTAATTCAACATTTGCGAACTTGACTGATAATAATCAATTATTAAAATGATATAAATTTTTATACTAAAATTTTAATTATGGTCGAAAAACTTGTTCACAAAACAAAAGTAAACATCAACATTACAGAAATGATTTCGATAGAGAAAACAAATCATATAAGTCAAAGAAATACATTTTAAATTAAAATGATGAATTTAGAAAAACATATTTCATATGAGAAAAATATGTTATTAAGCAATGGTACAAGCATCTTAAGATACTACAACAAATTCCCACTAATCAAAAACACCAAAGACTTAATTAAATAAATGAGTTACATTGCTCGTATAATTAAGTCGTACAATTTTCATATAAATCTAAAAATAGTAATTACATATAGGTGTAACCTATTACAAGAGTAATTACATATAAATAATATGTATTTTCATAATACATTATCATACTCGATCAGAGTATTAATATAATAGTTGCACTTTTATATCTATGACCTTACAAAATATAAAATGTTGGTGAAATAATATTACAATATCATTGCATGCTTATAGATTCTTGTGATAATCCAACAGATCTAAACAACAAATTATAATGCTTACTGATAAAAGATTTTTTATTTATTTTATATATATATATATATATATATATATATATATATATATATATATATATATATATATATATATATATATATATATATATATATATATATATATATATATAAACAAAAGTGAGATGTTTATTAAAGATCACAAATATATAACATTGTGGACACACTCCGACTAATCTCACATAAAAAAAATTTCATTGGAGTCAACTAGTATATAAATATTTTAATGATATAATACTCAATAATGAGATACTTAATTGTTAGCGCAAAATTATCAACAAAAATAGTTGTACAATTTATCAATATTTTAAAAAGTTAACCACAGAATATAGCAGATCTATTAACACAAGTGGTTATAAAATAATAATATTAAACTCAATATTGATTGATGGAAGATTTTTATCTAAATTTGAATATCATAGTTAACCACATATTATGCATTTATAATTACAGAAATTGTTAATTTTCATTTATAATTTATAATGCAAAATCTCCTTATAACAAATAAAATTCTTAAAAGAATTTTCATAAAAAAAATAACCTTCACATAAAAGAGTATTATGATTATATAAAACAAAATTATCATTATATGAGTGAGATTAAATCTCTAGTATTTTAAATTGTAAAATAGGATTATATGAACTATTTTAATCGCTCACTCAAAACTCAAGTGTAACGATCAAGGTCACACACACTTGAGACATAATTAGGTTACATGCTGCGAAAATAAAATGGTCTTTAATTTTAATTTTATTGAAGATACAACAAAATAGTCTTAGACTTTCGTATATGCATAAGACTATATTATCTTCAATATAAGTCTATATTCTAAAAAAATATTTATTAAACAAATAATTTTTTTTCTTATTTTTATAAATTTGACATGTTAGATTCTTCCACTTGATAGAGAAAGATAAATGATTTATCGATTCAACAATTTTAAAATAATCAAACAAAT